GAAAAAACAAAATAAGAGCCTGACGATTCGTTCAATTCGAATTCCAAGCTACCAAAAAAAGAAATAGAGAATCCGTGGAAAGAGAAATAATTTCTAAGCAACAATCATCGATTAATATCCATAACCAGAGGCGAGAGGAGGGCAGTTTTTCAAGTTTTTGAAGGAAGAAGGGTCCAAGCGGCCCGTACAATACAGCAATCATTGATTCCGACGAGTCGACGGTGATCATGGGCGCCCAGGAAGAGGACACCAAGTCCAGCACCATAGGCGGGGTGCTTCCTGTGGTGGAGGTGGTGACTCTGGTGGAGAAAGCTAAATTCTACACCTCCCTCTGCCTGGGTACCACGGCCATACTTGCCGTCTTCGCCTTCCTTTTTCTGATCCCGTTCGTCGTGGAACCGGCGGTAACCACGATCCTGGCCGACTTTTCTCCACACGCCGTCGCCTGTGTCGTCACCGACCACGTTTACGCCGAGGGATTGAAGAATTGCTCGTGGGCAAGTTGTAGAGAAGGTAGTATCCGGTCAGCTCATCAACTTCGAACTTGAATTTAGATCATAGAGATCTAACGTTTTGGATTTTGCAGGTTGTACCAGCGCCGCGCTTCGTTGCCATCAGATCAGAGTGAACTACACGAGGCTGTCGTTCGATGAATTCATAGCGAAACCGTTGGGCTCCATCCCGTGGGACGTTTCGGACACGAAATTTTTCGTGAACACGGAAGGCTGCGGTTACCCGCCCAGGGTGAACTGTTCCGACTTCGCCAAGAAGTATGGATACTCGAACATGGGGAAAATATTCCCTTGTTATTACAGCAGAACGCATCCGGAGACTGTCGTTGCAAGGTATATAATCAATAAGGCTGTTCCATTCGTGACAGAAGTTGGCAGGCGGAAACACGAAACGTGTGTCGTGTTTAATCGAGGTTAACGCAGTTGCTGCTATAATTTTCAATTCAAGATTTGCATCTTCTCGTGTAGGAACGTATTTTTTCGAGTATTTAATCGTTAATAACGAGTTTGTTTGTTGGAAATTCCATTTTTTTATCTGTTGAACTGCAAAATTATTTTACGTATTTGTTTTACGTTATATATACATATTTATTGATCTCTTTTTAACTTTCTAATCAGGTACTCTTGGGATGAGAATCTGAGGCATCTAGTGCTAGCCTTGGTAGTGCCTACAGTTCTTTTCGGAGTGTCCCTCGGTGTATTATGCTATTGGTATTGTCCACCGATGGGCAAGACTTGCGGAGGACCAGGCCGCAACTTGATTGACAAGTACGCAAGGAAGGAAGAGTAAGTAACGTGTATGTATGCAGTGCCCAGTGTGGCTAGAAGAACCTATACCTCACCTACGTTTTAGAATTGCTTCGAGGAATTGGTATGCAAAATTTAATAAATTTGGAATGTCTTTTTTCGATTTCAATTGTTACCAAGCAACTAAATTACAACACGATACGTTTAATCATTGATCAATTACTTACTTAAAAATAAAAATATCGATCAAATTAAAATTCCAGAAAATTAAGATTAATGATAATAATATCGTTGAAAAATTGTTGTTTGTCGGGTTTTAATTTTCCTCGAAGCAATGTTCCAGTAAAGCAATTCGACAAAGAGGCCCTGCTGTATTTTCTATTGCAAGTTTTCTGTTGCATTCGTACAGTATTCTGGGAGAGGACGAGTTCGAGGAGGACGAGGAGGAATACTGACTGCTGCCAAGGGCTCACCCCCCAGCGCGGGAGTGACGCCGAAGGAATTACTGAAAAATAATCCCCGTTATTTACGTTCTAAAATTAATCGTTCGAAAGCAATAGCAGCGTTAGGGAAACTTCCAGCAACGAAGATAAATGCATTTACGTTTAACGTTTCCATTTCCGATTTCTACCGTTTATCGATTGATCTTAATCCACTGCGATACACTGCACTTCGAGCTTAATTGCTTTCGTTAAAGGAGAATTGGTAAATAATTTTGCTCCTTTGGATATCGTTTGGACCATTCTTATGACGGTCCTTAATAAATGGATTATTAAGTTGCAGCATATGACATGGCCGATTTAAAAAAGAGAGAAGAAAAAGATCGTTTAAAAAATTCGAGCTAAACCTTTTTAACGAATTATGCATATTTACGCGCGATTTAAAGCTTGCAGAATACGATGTGAATTATTATATTGAATTCAACTTAACTTTAAATTTCGACAAGTATCCAAAGAATTTTAATTAATGTTAAAATATCGTTAAAATTTTTTTCTTCGGCTATTTCATCTGTAACGACCCGATATCCCTCACACAATTTTGCAATAAATCAAAATTAATATTATACATAATATATACGTTTATTACGAGATGTTATATAAAAATTCCTTTTTCTAAAGACTTGTCCCGCGATGAATCGCAATACGAATTTCGAAGTTTGAATCGCGGGACCGTACATCGAAAATATTTTCCAAAACGATCGAATTAAACCTGAAGAATGTCTGCGATATTTTTACACCGAGTTACACCCCAAGAAAAAAAAAATGATTAACCTCTATAATTGTACAGAAAATGCGATGTTTTTTCTTTCCTTTTCCGATGTCGAGACGCGTAATCGAAATTTTTATACCGCGAAACGCAATAATAAATGGGCTCTCGTGAATTTACAAGGCAAGGCACGGTGAGAATAAAGCTCAGTCTCGATCATCTACCAGTATTCCGTACGAGAAATTGCAACAAGGTGCGCCTTCCTACAACGTGATAACTTTAAACGTAAGGAACAAAGTATTCAAGTGGCACGATTAAAAAAAAAAAAAGCAGCATTCGTTCGTAATAGGATAAATGATGTACTGTATTTTTAAGTCATGTTTATCCAGACTCGGGTAAGATGACGTTTGAATTTATAGTAAAAAGAAAAAAAAAAAAAAAAAAAGAAAAACTAAAATAAAATAAAACGAAAAAGAATATTGGAAACGAAGTGTTTTTAAAAAAGCAGCACGGATTAATTTGTATCCCGCGATACAATGTTGCTTTAACGTTTTACGATAATTCGATAAAATTGCATCGTTTGAAAATGTTAATTAAAATGAAAATTAAATTGAATTACATAAAATATCATTTTACCCAGATCTGCGCCCACGATTAAGTGATCGAGAAACGTTCCGTTTTGTTAACGTTTGTCGGAGAAAAAGAAACGATCGATTCGTCGATTCGTTTCGAACGGAAGTAAGAAAAGAAATCAAAATCCTGTGCAGGCTCGTGTCACGCGACATGTACGCGCCAGTACATACCATTTCAGCGTTTCTATTTCTACTTCGAATGTTCGATGAATCGAGGATGTGAACATTCGTGTCAGAGATCGTGAAGATAAGGGGAGAAGGAGAGAGGATATTTTTTCGACGGTGAAAAATATATCAAAATAAAAATTAAAAAAAAAATAATAAAAAAATGAAAAAGATAAAATAAAAAAAAAATACGTGGATCATAGTGCTTTCACACGTTGCAAAATTGTTTAAGGTTAAGAGAAGAATATACGCGAAGATTAGATCATTGCTATTTTTGCAACAGGAGGGGAGGGGAGGAATCGTAGCTAAATTAATAAAATTTCGAAGCGATCGGTAATTGGAAACGCAAGGAATGATGAAGGCGATGACGCGATGGCCTCCAGGATATGTCTTCGCACCAGAGAATATAAAAAAGGAATATAAAACTCATAGATTTAAGTTTTAGCCCGTAAGGTGTTAAGTCTGTGAATATTAATGATCGATACGATTACGATTGTTACAAATTTTTTACGCGGACGCAAGTCGCGTCGTGGTTCTAGTTAGGAACGAACGAAGGATATTTGCATAATAAAGCACGCGTGCACGTGCGTTATACGTAGTTTATAGCTGTAGATATCGGTTTTTTTCAGTTTCGGTTTTTCGAAAGGGACGAGCGATCCGTGTTCCCACAAGCTGCGAAACAACGTGTGTAAATTAGAGAGAGAATTGATCAGCAATAATTCCTCCTATTTCGATTTATAGAAATCCTTAAAAATTAATTCTTTCGCCTCGAAAAATGAACGTAACCTTAGAAATCGAATATCTCTAACGCACATCGTTAATTTTAATAAGAAATTTAAAAAATAAAGGAGAAATAAACGCAATAATTTCACCATATACTATAATTTTACAATTTTCGACATATTACATTTCTAAGGTAATGTTCATATTCTATGCGAGAGAATGATTAATCAAATTTGGTATTATTAGAGTTAAAGATCAACAATTGAGAGACGATTCGATTCTTGAGAGAGATCCTTGTTCGAATTAAAGTCTCTCATTTGAAACAAGATAAATTCAATTTAAATTCCATAAAATATGATAATCAAAATATGATATTTTAAGTAAGAAAAAATTTATATCAATTAATTAATAACACGATAATCGAGAGTTCTCATTATCCTATGTTTCTTTGGCGAAATTATTATATAAATAATTATATAGAAGTATTATATAAATTATATAAATTTCGAAGGTATGAATAGAATTTGTAATAATAACGTACGAATAATTGAATTTTGAATCGAAATTGGAATGGCGGTGGGAGAGGCTACGTTGTTTCGAAGCGCATGGAAGCTAAATCGCGAGCCTGTACATCTAGAATGGTTGTGAATCCTTTACTCGGCCTTACTCTAGGCAACGTGTTGGAATGATTCGCCTCGAGAGGGCGAATCCCAACGGAAGCCTGCGTTTCGGCACTCATTCCCCACTCGAAGCTTGCTAATCGATTTCCGTTTTGCGCGTGGCCGGCGATCGATCGGCGGATCGTTTGGCGCGCTTTTCAAATTTCAACGTCGTTCCACCGTTCTATATTTACGAGATCTTCTCTCTTGCGTCCTTTATCCGCGTCGCGTGAAATTTTTGCTCAAAGGCGCTTGATTTACGAAACGATGATGATAAAAGGTTGATAAAAGATGAGGCGAAGAGAAAGGAATTGGAGAAAAAACGAACGAGATTTAGAAACGATGATATTAATCGAGCTGCTCAATGGAAAAATGATTCGAGCGCATTCTTTCCCAAAATCAGGATAAAAATTTAAACATTTTAAAATTACGTTGTTAAAGAGAGTTTTATCAGGATTAAAATTAATTTAATCGAAAATTGAACACTGATTCTTATATATATCTTCTTTTAGAACATGGCTCACGCTTAGAATCCTTTGATTCTATATATATATATATATATATATATATATATATATATATATATATATATATATAT